GATTATATATATCTATTAAATAGGTATACATTATTATCATGTGTGATAGCGTTTTGTGAATGGTAAGCACTCTGCTTTAGTCCAGCACGCTGTATCAGTGTAGTTGCAGCCATCGTTCTTTTGGGTTGGAGTTGCGGCAGATCCAGACCACCGGCAGTGGTTAGCGTTGTGATTGGATTCGCATGCCTTTCGGCGGTAGCCAGCTGTCAGACGCTGAAACTTTTGTCTGCTCATTGGCAACCTTCTGCTCATCTGCCGGAGTTTTTTGCAGCGAGAGCACTGATTGACGGCTGAGCCGCCGGGTGTCGGCAAGCGGGCTTGGTAGCAATCCACTCTCTCTCTGCTGCAGGATTCTCCTCAAATTTGGTTGGGGTTTGGTTTTTTAGTTCGAAACTTTTAAAACGGAGGAGGAGGACGAAAAGAGAGACGCATAACAGGCTCACTTTGAAGGTCCTGGGGTGGAGCACATGGTACCCATGAAAGCGGAAGGACGTCCACGGATTTCAACTAGGGAAGTAAACACAGGATGATGGGGCGGGTGGGCGGGGTTCATTCCTGAGTCACAAACCAATCTCCACTGTTTTTAGAGAGTTAGCTCCAGGTTGTTCTGCTGCGACCAGGTACATGGCCAGATGGTCAATCTCCCATCTGTAGGCAGACTCATCTCCACCAGAGATGAGCCCAATGAGGGAGGTGTCATCCACAAACTTCAGGAGCCTGACGGACTGGTGACTGGAGGTGGGGAATTAAACATATAAGTGCTAGTGGGTAAAATTTACATTTTCAGTTACATCATGGAGACTTGTTGGTAACTATTTAGTTGATACTTGTTTTGAGGTAACGTTGGAATTATGCATAGGGCAAGGCTTGAGTTTAAGCATGTAGCCATTATAGGTACGGTTAAGTGTGTTCTCCAGTGAATAAATGCAAGTCAATTCACTGTCCTCACAAGTGATAGCAACGAATGTGGCAGCCTATGTGCATTTGTGCATGCATGTTTTTAA